CCAGGGATCGAAACCCTGGCCCGTGCGCCTGAATGCAGGCACTTTAATTTGCTGAGCTACTTGTCTGGCCCTAGAAACTTCAGAAGATATATAGCTTTAGCTATAACTGAGATAATACAATATATTCAGGTTGCTGATCAAGATGATGCTGAGGGGCTGGAGAGATGGCTCAGTGGTCTAAAGCAGCTATTTGGAACAAGCTTGGCAAAGCACAGGGATCGCGGTTTGATCCCCCAGCACCACATGCCAGCCAGCCCTCCCCCCGGTGGGCTGAGCTGGCCACACACACATACACACACACACACACAATAAATAAATGTTTTTAAAAAAATTAAAAAAAAAGATGATGCTGAGACTGATGTTTTACAAATGTAATATATAGTTGTTCATGTATAAGACCTAAAAAAGTATTTCAGTAGTTAAAATAGATCCCTGAGGACCGATAAAATCCCGTCGGCTTAAAAATATTCTAATGACACTGGCTACACAGTGTCCAATAGCTTTGGGCCTATATATAGAGCCAGGCCTTGTATTTGTGACCTAAAACTCAGAGCCACAGTGTTAAAAAGGGAAATCCCTAGGCAGTGCCCCTTGCTTACAATGGGGGCCAGATGCAAAACACTGAATGGAACACTGGCTTAATCTGACTAAATGCTATGTATTTCGTGATAAATGTGTAAGTTCATCTGGTTGATTTCTGATGTAACTCAGGTTTTTCATGTTGATAGTTAATACAGGTGTGACTTCTCTTTCACTAAAGCTAGAGGGACTTATAGCAAACTGTCAGACTTCATAAGTAAAGGGGTATATAGGCCAGTTGGGTTACAATTGCTATTCCTTTAAGAAGTTTATACATTTACCTGTTAGCTCAAATGCTCATGCTTGATTATATATGCTCTAATTTCTTGAAAAATTTGTTCTTTCTTAGAAGATACCAAAACCCAGGTAATCCAGGTAAAATCTATAGTGAATATGCTTGATAACATTGATTCCTTTTACTGGGATCCATCAGATTTTGTCTATAGAGGCATAGTAAGGCCTTAACTGTCTACCTCATATAGCCCACACGAGTGAAGCCTTCTCAGGATTATTGCACTCACACCCCTAGGGAAGGTGCTTCCTCTAAATCCACTACAGGGGAAGTTGCCAGCAGATTTCTTGGGCAAGGCTACCTGCAGGAGGCCTTCAAACCAAGAAGTCATACCTTACTCAATGGACCCCAGATATCTGACATAAGCTGTGGAAGGTAGAAGGGTTTGCAGGAATGAATTTGTCTGAGTTGAGGTGTTTTATAGTAAAAAGGATACAGAATGGAATTATAGATGGAAAATGAGAATAGTGATACCAGCAGCCTACAGGAATGAAGGCCAGTCAGGAAACAGGAAACAGTTATGCTTCCCTGGATCCAGACGGAGAAGGGACATTTCAAGCAAAAAATGGCCAAAGCTGCTAGAGAAGGAAAAAGAAAAAGTGTTTTTGATGGATTTCAGAGGAAGTTTCAGATTGAGGTGGTCATGGGTCTTCCCCTCTCAGCCTGAGGGAACCCATGTTAACTGCCAAAATAAGGAGAAAGCCTGCTAAAACTTTTAAGAGATGATCATGCAGATTTGTCAGTTACCAAGACAGTGGCCCCACTTGCCAACCAGAAAGTACTCAGTGTTTTCCATAGGTCTGGCAAATCATGTGCCCCAGTAATAATAGGATTAGCTAGTTTATTTGAGAAAATATCCAGTGGCCATGGAAGATAAAAAAGGGATTAAACCCCAAATTTAAGAGATCTCTGCTAATGGACCTACAAAATGTTCTGACTAGTTTTTTTATAATTACAAACTTAAAGGTTGTTACCTTCCAGATCCTTCTCCTAACGTCTCAGCAGCTGTTCAAAAGATATCACAATGGTATGTGAGATGCTGAGGTCCCCTGGGCCCTATCTTTGTCATTTTTATGGGAAGCCATTATTGTCTACTTGATACAAATCTTTGACTATATTCATAATTATCCTGTTGTGACTATTTGACCCATGTGTGTTTAATTGTTTCTTTGGCTTTGTCTCCTCCAGACTCTTGGGTAACGATACGTCTACCCAAGATGAAAATGCCTCATGTCTATTGAGGGCCTTTAGACAGAACCTCTGGAGAGTATCTCTGACTGCCAGTCAACAACTACAACCCCTTTCAGCCTGAAGAAGCCAGAGTGGTCATTGCTCATGGTTCCCTCACAGCAGTTTGTATTACTTTTTCATAGGGGGGAATGTTGTAGGTAGCTGAATTAGACAGAAATATTATAGGCAGTCAGACAGGGCCAGGCCCTCAAGGAGACAAGATGGAAGACAAGGTGACTTTGCAACTTGGAAGAGACAGACATTCTCATATGGGCTACACCTCAAGACCAAGACAAAAGAGGAAACACAGCTACACACTTCTCTAGGGCTGGGCATCAGGGATTGATATTCTAAATAGGTATCAATCACCTTGAAAGAGCCCAAATGAGTCACTAACCCAACCCCCAACAGGAAGAGACCCTGTCCCGTATTCATGCCCACTTGCAATGTGACTCTCTTCCCCATTTGGTACTGGATTTAATCAATTTTACCTGAGCAATGGTACTTGTAATCTCATTGGTTGACCACAGGTGTGTCCTACCTCATGCCCACCTAAGCGAGTTCCCATGTCTTCTCCACCACCTTAGACCTCACCGCATGGTTTTACTCTATAAGTCCCTGGAAAAGACAGCTTCCCGGGGACTACCTGCTCAGTGCCCCATACTGTCCCTCTCTCAGACAGGAGCTTTATTTCCCTCAATAAATATATTCTGCTAAAAAAAAAAAAAAAATCAACTGCCAGCTCAGCGTGCCCCGCGGCTGGGCCGGCATGGCAGGTCCTGGGAATCAAACCCCTGGCCCCTGTGCCTGCCTAAGCAGGTACTTTAATCCACTGAGCTATTTGGCCGGCCCTCATCTTACTTTTAAAGACACATAGAAATTTTGTTTTTTAGCAGATAATAGACATGAGATACCCTACTTACCCTTCTGCTAAAATTAACTAAAATTCTGTATTTTTTTTTTTAAAAGGTAGTTTCACTAATAAGTTATCAAGACAGTAAAACATACTAAAAATCCAAAAACTTCATGAAAGTGGGAACCCAGAGAGGTGAAAAGAACATTGGAATACATGAAGCAGCTTTTGCTTTAAAGACTACTTTCAGCCTGGTAATTTAAGTCCCAACAGGTAACATGCCCAGGTCCTCTGTATCTTTATTCTCTACCAAAAAAATCATACCCTCTGTGTCTTGGCAGACTGTGTTGTGATTGTTTGTTTTATTTTTGCTTTTGTTTTTTTGGAGACAGGGTCTTACTATGTAGTTCAGGCTGGCCTCAAACTCACTGCGATCCTACTGCCTTAGCCTCCTGAATGCTGGGATTACATGTGTGCACATGCCTGGCTCATCATGGTATGCTAAAAGTATTTATAAAACTTTGTTCTTCTAGAACTTCTAGTTTGTCACTCTCTTCCCTGTGCCCTAGTCTTCTACACGTTTTCATACAGTATAGTATAGCCATCTTGTTCACACCAACAACTCAGGACGGCACTATGTCCCAGAGCACACAGAGATGATTCAAACTGGCCAGTTCCAAACCAGCTTAGTCTTCCTCACCTATTCCTTCTCAGGGAAACACAATCAATTCCTTTCTGTCCTTCTGCCTCCTGGTGTACCCCAAGGGTTCCCCATGTGGTCTCCTATAGTGTGGTTTGTTTCATTCTCTTGAGAAGTCCAACAAGCTATCTCTTTAGTGGTAGGTGTTCTCTAACCTGTTGGCATTGCCATACTATACACTGTGTTGTAAAAGAAGGGCTTCATTAGGAGTCAGAGATGTACAAATTAAAATCACACTAGATCCTAATTATAATATATAATTTACTATCTTATTTATATACACTATTTTACATATGTAGACCATTATATATATCTATATATCTATATATCTATATATATATGTATAGATCCTTATATATAATATCTACACATAGGACCATTATTATGTATTATATATAATATATAGCATATATATATATATATATATATATATATATATACACACACACACATATGTCCTTAACAGAAGTGTTTCAAAAATATTGTTGAATATGTACAATTAGAAATCTGATTCATTGCTGTTAAGTGAATATTATGATCATTTCCAAAAATAGGTAGCAATGCATTCTAAAGTTGAAGACACAAGTACTCTAATGTGTCTATTCTACCAGGCAAGTGCTTATTTCACTGAGCCATCTCCCTGGCCCCCATAATGTGTCTATTCTAGAAAAACTACTGTATATTTGCAGTAGGTGATATTTCAAAATGTTCATCATGATACACAGTAGCATTGTTCTTACTGGCAAAAAACAGAATGTCCCCCATAGTTATCAAGAATAGAAGAGACATATATTTTGCTGGGATTTTTGTTTGTTTGTTTGTTTGGTTTTTTTGGCAGAACCGGGGATTGAACTCAGACCCATGCGCTTGCCAGGGAAGCGCTTATTCCACTGAGCCATCTCCCCGGCCCAAGAATAGAAGAGACATATAGAGAGGGATATTAAATAACAGTACAAGAGTCACATAACTGAATGCAACACTAAGAATGATTTTCAGGAATGTAGTACTGAATAGAAAAACTCATCAAAATACATATAGTATGACCCCATTATAGAAAGTTCAGGAAGAAAGAAACTAAGAAACTGTTAAAAAACACAAATATGAGGTGGCAGCTGTGGAGGCAGGGAAGGAAGACAAATTCAGCAACACAACAAAGGTAATGTCGTTTTTTTCCCCCTTAAACTTGGTCATGGTTCCCTGAGTATCCATTTAGTATTCTTTATACCTTACACATATTTTATAAACAACCTTTTGCATCTATTGAATTTTTAACATAAATAATTGTTGAAAAAGGAAAAAAAAGGATAGGGAGTCTGGTTTGCTAATAGCAAGAGTACAGGTCATACCATCTTCACTGGTGTGGGGTTCCGTACCAGCCTCTTGGTCAGCCTCCTCCAACGTACCGTGCTCACTGTATGGGCTGTCACTGTGCAGTAGAAACAGAAATTTATAAGCCAATTTATAAGCCAAAGTGGAGATAATGTTTAAAGTGAATTGCTACTTTAAGGAAAAAAAATCTAAAACTTTTTTTTTGTATTTAGTATAGGGTCTATAGGGTCTCACTACATAGAGCTGACTTGTAGTGATCCCTCCTGTTTTGAGCCCCCCAAGCGCTGGGATTACAGGCGTGCATTACCACACCCAGTCTCAATCACCATCTCAACAAGCCCTGGGGGTGGGGCCAGCAAGGCACACCAGGGATCAAACTCCTGGCCCCTGTGTCTGCCGGAGCAGGCGCTTTAATCCGTTGAGCTATTTGGCCAGCCTTAAAGATCTAAAACTTTTAATGGCAAAAAATTTACTGGGTAATCCAAAGATGGAATGCTATACAACCTCCCTTGATTTTCTGTTCTATGAAGACAGGCAGTAATCTCTGACAAGGGTATTTTACACCCTGTTGGGACAGAGGCTAACATACAGAAAAATGGTAGCATTACAGATCATTGTTGTCCATAGAAGTGCAAGCCAGTTCAATTCAGGTACAATATGTTGGACTGTTGCTCTACAAACAGACCTGTTTTTATAAATTTAATTCATCATTCTTTTGTGAGATATAAGTTGATGGTTCTTTTGATTTTTCTTTTGAATGGACTGCAGCATCTTTTCCATTATTTCTTGATATGGGTTCATTTCACTTCTGTATTTGAGTCATTATTTTTATCCTCTTTTCAAACTTACCCTTTAATACTGCCATTATCTTCTCTCACATATATGCTGATAAAATGTAGTGGCCATGAATACAAACCTGTCACTACTATAAAAGCTCAGTTATATTGCTGGCGTTAGGAGACAAGGATAACTACTCCATTATCGATTTTTTGTTAAAAGTGAGCAATACCCAAAGAAAACAATAGAAGCAGATGGATACAGTATTAATGGCTAGAAGACTATTGTGTAGGTCCTTATCCTATTTGGAAAAAGGTGCAACTACAAAATGTTCTAGGATACAACACGGCAAATGTATCGGGCAGTGATCTACTTGGTCTTTGATAGAATGAGTACGATAGCAGAGCTTACCAATAAAGCCCTGATATCTGAGGACGCTAAACATGCATCTAACACTGGCCTTCAGTTATTATGAAAACTGCCATGGAAACCACGCAGGTATTTAAGCAGAGACGAAACAGAAGGACGCCAGACGTGCTTCTGATCTGTGAGGACTAGGAAGTGCATCTGGATGCTGGCAGGACATTAATGATCTGTGACTGGGGAAGGGTCCGATGGCTGGCTTTATAAACTTTTTTCAAAAAAATTATTATGAAAATAAAGTTCCATATCTGAGGAGGGTTGAGCTTTACTCATTTATCTTGCCATAGCCAAGCTTTGGTCAGTAATCTGGACATGTAAGTCCTCAAATAAATATTTCTGAATTGAATTTTATGTTTAAAGTTACTGGGTAACGTAGGGAACTGGAATCTAGCATGCTTTATTGTCAGTTTGGAAAGCGGCATTTCTGGAAATACTTAACACTTAGTTTTCTTAAGCATCATACTATGGCTTAAAGAAAACAAAAGTGCTTTTCACCTTTCAGTTACTTGCCCCACTTCAACTTCATCCTCTGCAAGGAAATGGGGAAACACAGTCTCCTCAGCAGAGTCCAGACTGAAGAACTCAGACACATCTATTTCTAGCTGCTGTCAAATCCCAGCTTCCCAGGCAGTTTTTGAGGTAGACAGTGAGGCTGCTGGGGAGGAAGACTCATGTGGACCTTCAGATGAGGCATACCTGGTACTGTGGCGGGAATGTGCCTCCGAGGGCCACGTGCCGGAAACTTAATCCCCCAGCTCACCTGCTGAAGACACTTGGAGGTGGATGATGAGAGGTGCCGAGGGGTGAGGAAGTGATGGGGAGAGACGGAGCACACGTGTTCCTTTGTGCTTGTGTCTGCAGCTTGCTGCCACGTTATGACACAGCTGGATGACACTTGCCAAACGGCAGCACCTTGGTGTTAGGCTTCCCACCCTCTAGAACTGTGAGGTGTACATTTTGTGTTTTGTTTAAAAATAAGTTTACCAAAAAAATTAAAAAAAAATAAGTTTACCTAGCCTGTAGTATTCTATCATAGCAACAGAAAATGGCATAAGATACCCCGGGCTGCCACCAATTACTCCTAATCACCCGGCATACATGTTAGCTTTTCTTGTTCAGCAGAATGTTGATGACAAATGAAAGAAATAATGTGTACTGAATGTCTAGCACATGACAGGGGCTCACGGAATTGAAGCTTCTTTTATAGTATGATTTCTCAGAAACTGGTGGAAATTCACATAGTAAATATCAAATAGTGAACACAAATGTTTTAGGGTTTCCTACCTTTGGAACTATATTCAATTGAAGACATTGCTCCCACTTTTATAGTTCTATGGGAGGTGATCATATATTGAAAAAATGTTATTCCTAAAATATATAATATCATGAATTTTTAATAATAATAAATTTGGTCAAAATAATATTCATTAGTAAAAATTAAAATTAAAATAAGTAGGGATAAAAACACTTTTGGGTGATAGGACTCTCCGAATGGGAATTTTAACTTTATATGGAATTAAAGCTATCTGATTAAGAATGAAAAATGAAATCTGTTAATCACTTTTCTTCAGTTAATATAGTAAGAATTAATATAGATCTATATGAATAAAATCTTTATTTCTCACAAAAGCCATGGCAGGGCAGATTTACCTCAACAGATACAGTCCTTGGGCAAAGACAGTGACGAGTGTGAGTCTGCAGGATGGAACACCAGCGTTGCCATTGATCCCGGTACTGTCCCTTGTCTCAAATGTTACTGCTGCTGCTTACTTCTTTAATTTTAACTAGATGCGGGCTGGTGAGATGGCTCAGTGGTCTAAAGCACCTACTTAGAACAAGCTTAGCAAAGCAAAGGGACTGCGGTTCAATCCCCCAGCACCACATGCCAGCCAGCCCCGCCCCCTGGTGGGCTGAGCTGGCCACACACACACACACACACACACACACACATAAATAAATACATTAAAAAAAATTTTAACTAGATGCATAGGTGGCATATAGATACCTCCTTTTCCTAATTCAGCTGGTATTTGTGCCTCTACATTAGAGATATGTGTGTGTGTGTGTGTGTAATTTTATTTTATATTTTATTTTTTGGCAGGAAGAGAACCACAATTCTTGGACTCACCAGTAATCATCTCCAGCCATACATTTCTCATACACAGGGCCATCTAGTTCCTTAGAATCTGGGAAAATGGCCTCATGGTGGATGATGATAGTCTTGACAATTTCGTTCACATGTGCCTGACAAGACACCTGGTCCTGTATTTCTGGGACAGGCATCAGTGTTGGGCCAAAGCAAATGGCCAGGTTGTAAGGGTCCATCATGTTCTCATCACTGTACTGGGAAAGACTTTGAAAAGAAGCAAGAAAGAAGTTGTAAAAGAACAAGAGGAAAAAACCAAAAATATCTAATAAGACATTTCATATTCTGAAAACAGGTCTTTACTATTAGAATAAAATGCTATGCTATCTTGCCAGACTTCAAACTTTTTGACAGTTTCACTTTTCCACAGGGGTGTAGCTTGAAGGGGTTAGGAATGATTAAAGAAAGAGGACGACCTAGATCTCTGGCATGCGCAGGTCATAGCAAGGTTCACTCTCTTCTGAGAATCAAATAGACTGGCTGAAAAACAAAATTAAAAAAAGAAAAAACAACAAAAAACCTCCCAAAACATACTGGCTGGCCTGATAGGAGGCAGCACTCAGGTAGTAATGGAGGCCCTGGGAGGGGCTACAACTACAGATGAAGCTTAGCTTGCTCCCTGCCGCTCAGCTCCTGCTGAGCACCCCAGTTCCTAACGGGCCACACCCCTGTAGGGTAGGTACAGGGACCTCTGTTCTATCCCACTTAAAGATAACTCTCCAAAGTTATCTTTAGAGTAAAATGACTTAGGATCTTCGACTCGGTAGAAACCAAGAGGGGTCTGAAGGTGCTCTTCTCTTAATGAGGTGGCACTTTTCTAAGTCACGAGAGAGTTGGTATCACAGCCATGCCAGTGGAGGTCAGCACCACCTGGCCTCTGATGAGTCTCATGGGTAAATTTTATGGTCGGACTCTAATGTGGGAAAGACAGTATGATTTCCATAGAGATTTACAAATTAATGTCTTTAATAAATTTGTCCTTGCATCACTCAAAAATATCTTAGATTTCAGTTTTCTCCAATAAGCACTGAGAAAAGTTTAGAGGAAAACAGAGGCCCCCATTTTTTTTTAACTATTGAAAAGCAATGAGTAACAATTTTAGGCTTTATAGTGTTTTGGGGTATATCTACCAACACGACATGACAAGACATTCAAAGTGAAAGAAATGGGGAGGAGAAACCTCCATTACTTTATGCTATCTAAAGCAGGCAAACTTTTGGGGAGATTTCTAGCTATGTACTACTAATTTCTGAACATAATACGATGGACACTTATGATACAGGCAACTCAAAATAAGCCAGTTCTTTATCCCAATGCTTCTAACGCATGGGCAGCCTACTCTGAGGACAGTTTAGAAATCTTCTCTCTCAGTGTATAGAATGGCAGTCTTGAAAGGAAAGGTAAAATCCAGGTGAGCAGATGACAAATGGAAGTGAGAAAAGGAGACTCAACTATCTTTGTAAGATGATTACAGACACAAAGAAACTGAGCCACCACCTGGCTTGACACTTAGCCCTTTTTCAGAAATCAGATAGTCTACAAAGCAGAAAACACAAAAGCATAATTTCCACAGCTAACATGTGCCTTTCCCGTCTGCTGTTTCTCAAACATGCAGTCTGATTAAAAAAAGTTTCCGAAAGCGAATGATCATGTTACAGGTGATCTTGAAAATGGGAGCCGGGGAAAGAGGTGAGATTCAGGATAAGAATGGCCCAGTTTTCTAGGCACACTCAGCTCAGCAGGGAGTCTCACGCTCAATATCCCTGGGGCACTCACTACGTGCTGGCTGTAGGAGAAAAACTAGTCTAAAAATATTATTTCTGAATTTGGATTTGACAGTGAAAATCAGCTAATAGTCCTCCCTCTCCCCAGTGCTGGAGATTGAATCCAGAGCCTGCCATATGCCGGGCAAGCGCTGTACTTCCAAACTGCATCCCTAGGCCCTCATCTCTCTCTTCAGACTTCCTGTTCAAATTCCTGACACAGAGGAAGGGCCTGTGTCCTTGTCTGAAGGCAGGTAGGGACAGCCAGGGGATATTTTTAAGCAGAACCAATTGGAGCAATTCCAGCTGTCTGACTTGTGGAATGTTGCCATTTTGTTGAAAGTTCCAATGAACTGTACTCAGGTTTTTAGAACTTGCTTAAGAGCCCACTTTTTAAATCCAGTGTGTTTTACTGTTTCACAGTGGGTTCACTTGGATGTACCAGGGAAATCTGGTAGGAACAGCACAGAGATAGCCAGCGGAAACAGGGGACACCATAGTGGCTGTGGGGGACAACACACACAACTAAAGTGAAGAAAGCGAGCTTCTGGACCTTTATAACTGCCTGAGCAACTGACATATTTAAAAGCAAAAATATATAGCATCTATGGAGCCTAAGCAGTTTTTACTCATCTTTCTAGATGCTGCTTACTTCCAGGGGTGAATTCTGTACAAATGGGTTCCTACCACCACCTGGGAATGTTTTAGGCCACACAAGGTGAACAGAAGAGCCCCATGTTATTTGGGTTTGCACCAGCATTTCCTCACTGGCCAATGCTTGGTTTGTTGGGGCCAATCTAACTTCAGGAGTAGTCTGAAGGGTGATAATAAATCTCCACGACTTTTGGGTATGCAAAACCTCCAGCAAAATAGAGACGAGAAAATAGCCTAAGTTTAAGAAGGGAGAATCCATTCCAGACAAGAAGGCATTTCTCCAATTTGTCATCTTTCCCTGGATTTCTTGCTTTCCAGCCACTTAACTGAAATGTTGCAGGGCAAGAGGATTCTTGGGCAGGATGTGGGGAAGATGGTCTTATAACGGAGCCCACATATTAGGAAGAAACATAGTTAAAAATCCCAAATTGCCTAAACCACAACAGTAAAGTTTTTCTTTTAAAAAAATGCAGTGTATTTAAGATATATCATTTTAGTTAATATTTTAGAAATAGTTTTTTATTGGGGCAAATTTTCAGACATTCTTTTTTTGGATCTATGTATAAATATCATTTATGATTTCTTTCCATCCCACCTACAATGTTAAAAATTATAGAAATTTTCTGCAATGAAAAAGTGGTGTGCATTACTGATGACATTCACTTTGCATGGAAGATGAAAACAACCTATTTTACTGAGAAGCATATTTTGGGGTCCCTTTGCACTTATGGCCAGCCAGTCATGTATCCAGGGTGGGGCTTTTTTCTGTCATATAAAGACCCTGATCTGCTGAGGAAAAATGTCCCTTCAGTCCATAGTCAATCATTTCTTTTCTTTGACTCTGCTGATAGTGTACATTTTATAGGGCCTGAGAATACAGACAGAATTTAGAAGTGCATTTATCAGAGCACTAAGGTACTTACTGATTGAGGAAGGCAAAGAGATACCTCATCACTATCAGGACCGACCTGGGCAAGGTCAAGAGGAGTTTGCGGATGTGAAGCGCCCTCTCATAGAGATTTTCTATTCCTGCAGACCAGAAATGACATGGTCAGTATCCACTGACTTCTACATTGAAAGCAGATCACTGTAGCACACATGTTACCAGAAAACAGCTGTACATTAAGCAATTACTTTGCCCTTGGAAATACGCAACTGTAACCAATATAGTGTGCAAGTGATTACTTGGGTGTACCACTATTTCTGAGGACATTTTCTCTGACTTACCTGATTCCCACAGTCTTTTATTTGTGTGTGTGTGTAGGGTTTCACTATGCAGCTCGGACTCATAATGATCCTCCTGATTCCTCCCTCCCCAGGGCTGAGATTACAGGTGTGTGACACCACATTGGGACTCCATTGCTGGCTCTGTGCGTCCGGGGGTGGGACTAGCGCAGTGTGTGGTGACAGGAATTGAACCCTGGGATTCCAATAGTCTTGACCTTGAGAAATTTAGTCTGCTAGAATTAAAAATAATTTTTCCCTTGTTGCAAACTCTAAATTTTGCACCTGATGTGGTTTCAATGCCTTTTTGCTTTCCTACATATGCACTTTTTGGGGAGTAGCACGTCTCCCCTGCCCATTATTCACTAATTCATCATATCTTTATTAGTATACCTACTACTATGGTCCAGTAATGTGCCAGGTTTTGGAGTCCTTTCTCAAAACTACCACAGTATTTTATTTATATGCCTTTTTATCTTGTATGTTTTTTTTTTTTTTTTCTCATCAACTTTTAAAGACAATTTAGGAGAGACTACTAGGTTCCAAGAATTGAGCTAAGCATAACAAATGCACTAGTGATATAATTCCTGCATCAACGAACGTCTGTTTATGATTACTTATTTCCCTATTCCACATTCCTTGTGGGATGGGGAGATCCTTGGAAAAAGGAATCCTAGGAAGGACTATGTAGTTTTATTTTCCCTTTTTGTTAAGAGTAAAAATTCTCCAAAATATCTCAACATGTCCTTGTGAAACACTGGTAACAAATTTGCTACTACCAATCTATTCCATGAATAGTCATGCTTATCCCCAGTAGTTTCACATTTGTTATTTAACTTATTGGGAATAGCAACTCTACATGGCGAGCGACAGGGCACCCCAAGTGGCAGGACGCCCACTGTCCTCCCTGCTGAATAGAGCAGGTAGTGAGCTTGCTAAGTGGCTGCCCCATGGCAGCCAGCTGGCAGGAGCAGAGCTGGGCCTAGAACTTCTGTCTTATCTTTTGTAAGTCTGGGTTTTTTTTTTTTTTTTTAAACTTAAAGTATATTTATAAAGTACAGCTTTGACGATAAGTAATAAACATACATTTTAGAAAATATTTTTGAAATTTAGTATGTCCGTATCACTAATTTGTTCCTAACTGCTCTTGAGATATTGATGAATCCTAGTAGAAAATTCTCAGCCCTGCTTCTGACATCACAGTTCATTGATTCTGCTCAGATTTTCCTAGTGTTTTCTTTGTAACTTTCTCCTGTTCACAAATGTAGCTATCCCCTAGCGATTTCTATCCAGTTCTTGTCAATGGCAGTCTCACCAATCTCAAAGGCAAAACCATCAATCCTAGCATGGCAGCTTTGCTCCATTTTTGTGTGGAAAGAAGTCAGGTCGTTCCTGTGTCGGACAGCTTGCTGCCAGTTTCCTGATTGAAGTCTTACTTCTCATTTGGACCGTCATAATACTCTCCTAACTCATTTCTCTTTCTGAAATATCTTAAATCAGTGCTGTTCAACTTTGATGCGGGTTTGCTTAGATACGTTGTTTAAAAATGCTGATTCCCAGGGTTCTTTTATGTAGTTAAGGTTAAAACTATTGCCTTAACTCACTCACTTAACTGGCATTTTAAGTGCTGGTTCTAGCTGCATTCCACTCATTACCAAACTGGGCCTTTAATTTTTCCCTCTGCACAGCCACAGTGGTACAAAAAAGTATATTAGGAATATTCTTGCTCAACCACAAGTCAATCTTTAAAATAATTATCAGGTTTCCTAGGAAAGAATACTTAAACACTTACCAGTTCAAGTTTTTAAATACAGGATGATCAAAACTTACATGTTATTGTTAATTTTTATAAGATAAGAAATATAAAGGTTATAACTTTTTCAAATGTATTCAATGCAAGAGCTGGCTGATGGCGATGACACCTGCCCAGGCAACTCTAGTCAGTACGTAAACAGATACAAAGTGCAACTGATGCTTGGGGTGGACTGTTAGCGGTTCACGTTCCTGCCTCTAACTACACCCCTGTTGGAACTGTGGCTCTGCTGTCATTCAGAAAATGTGATTGCAGAAACTCTTTAATGACAGCAAAAGTAAAATAGCATTCCGGTAACATTTTTATTATTTATTTATTTTTTTTTTCATTTTTATTATTTAAAGATTAAAAAAATGTAATTTTTTACAATTAATGACTATCACAGTGGTAGTAGCAATGAATTTGATACATGATAGTCTGTCTTTTTATTTGTGAAGTATTTTAAAATGGAAAAAAAAACATGAACAAGTTAGATTAGGGTCATGTCTATTAACGGTAAGTATTCTGTTTATATACTTTCCAGCCAATGTCTTTTTTCCTGAAAAAGGGAATAACATTTTTAAAAAAGTTATTAAGTAGGTATATGCATGCATGCATGCCACAAGAACTCAAATATTACATTATCAAGATTTACTTCCTTCGTGGTAGTGGGATGAAAACATGCCCTCAGTGATAGGTATTCCGGAACCCACACTAAAGAGGGCAGGTAAAATATGTGCAGATAAAGTAACTTGTGAATCACTAAGAATGTCATGGAGTATTAATATTATTATTACTATTTATTTAGATATAGGTTATTATTTCATATGCGAAAATAACTGGTTAAATATTTGTTACCTAAAATAACTGCTTAAAAAAGCACAATGGTTGTTGCTTTATGTTAAAGAGCAAAAAGATAATTTGGCACATCTGTTTCTAGATAACCTATCTTTAAAACTGAAAGAGCAAAAGGAAAAAAGCCTTCAAAGGTGAAGTCATACATATTATCATGCATTCTTAAAAACACTGTAACTATTAGCAGGCATCCCTTTGATGACTGCGAGAAGTGCTTTAATTTAAAATCTGGATTCTCAATTTCAGTATTTCAGTTTTTTGTCTTTCCTCCCCCTTTTAAATCTTTTCCCTCTACTCCCTTCCCCAGGTCCACTTTCCATCTTCCCATCTCCACAAGTAGTTCTACATATAGTCCTTTCTTTTCTTTTTAATGTACTTGGTACAGGGCCTCACTATGCAGTGTGGACTCCTAGTGATCCTCCTGGTCTTGGTCTCCCCAGCACTGGCATCACAGGCGTGTGCCACTATGCCCGGTCTTGCGGGCTGGCTCAGGGCGCCAGGGGGCGGGGCCAGTGCCACCTAGTTCTCTTTCTTTGTAAAAGTAGTTTCAATATTTACACCAACTTCATAGCAGCATTATCAATAGTCAAAAGGTGGAAATAACTCCGATGTTCATAGATTAGTGAATAGATAAACAAATGTGTCACACACATATTTGAATATTATTTGGCTTTAAAAAGAAAGGTCATTCTAACACATATCACAAAATGGACGAATCTTAAAAGACATGATAGGTGAAATAAACAAGTTCAAAGGGACAAATATTACATGATCCTATTTATATGAGTTACTTAGAGTAGGCAAAGTTATGGATACAGCAGGACAGTTATTGAAAAGGCTGAGTGAGGGGCAGGGGGAAATGAGTAGTTATTTTTCATGGGTAAATAACTCTTTTTTTTTTTTTTTTTGGGCAGAATCAGGGATTGAACTCAAGTCCTTTGCGCTTGCCAGGGAAGCACTTATTCTACTGAGCCATCTCCTCGGCCCAGTAAAGAACTTTTGTTTGGGTACAAAAATGTTCCTGGACTAATCACAATGGTTGCAGAGGAAAGGAAATGTACTAAATGTCCCTTAATTCTTCACTTAAGAGGTCGGGGAGATGGCTCAGTAGAATAAGTGCTTCCCTGGCAAGCGCAAGGGCCTGAGTTCAATCCTCGGTTCCACAAAAACAAAAACAAAAACACACTTAAAATGGTAAATTTTATGCCGTGTATCTTTAGCCACACACAAATGAACAGTCTGGGGTACAAATGAATGATTTAGGAGTAAAAAAAAGCAACAGTAATATGAAAGAGTGATACCAAAAAGATGACTTTAGACGGTGCGAGGCAACATATATTCTGTAGAACCTCAGGAAACCTAAATCACAGTGACACAGAGTCGCTGGCATTAGTGGAGGAGCCGTAAATCTATGTGTCCTGTAAGGCGAGACAGGGTGGCCTGCAGCACGCACCCTGCTGGAGCTCTGCTCTCAGACAAATGATTCATTTGCTCTCTCGAGTCCAGCCAGTGGGTCAAAATTGATGGCTGCTTCCTTCTGACACTCTGATCAGTGTGCACTCCTAGCTGGTGAGTCACGAGCTTGCAGTTTCATGGTGGATATAAGGACGGATCTTTCTCCCCTTCAGAAAAGCTGACAGGAGGAAAGTCAGTATTTTATCTGGATAGCTTTCAAGCTAGGCTCTGCCTTCTCTGGCCAGGGTCTGCGGTAACTAGGAGAAAGTGGCATTCCGTCAGTCTTGGTCACACGCTCAGAACTCCCAGAGTTCATCTATGCTCTGTGCCCAGCAATACTGCAAGTGCTCACAACAGCGTCCTAACGTCATGGTGTGACAGTTCCATGAGAATATGAAAAATGCACCATAAAATGCAAGGCACCCGAAAGAACGGAAAAAGTTCATATGGCCATTGCCCTGAACAATTCACTTTTCCAGAAAACAAACAATAAATCACAAGGTCAAAATTTATACTTAGGTATGAAGACAAGGAAAAGACTGCCCATGATGACCACATTAAGAAACCATCTACTAGCATACCAATAATATTCAAATAACGGAACTTAACAAAAAAGGGGATAGAGATGAATGTCCATTTTGTATCCGTGTATTCAAAGTGGTTAGGATAGATACATAGTTACATTCTCTTAATGAATAGAGGG